TCGTAAGCATTGCTTCTCATGAACATCGTTGCAGGGTAGCAGTTTTTGACTTCAATGTCCTTTGTCTGCGAAGGACCCAAAGCCACACAGGCCCTTCCTGATGTTGCTCTTGGTGTTCACATGGAAAATCAGCCAAGGGCCTGCTTTTTCCGGGTCCTGGAAGATGAAGATATATTAGATTGCTCATGATTGTTTTCCAGGGCTCCTTATTGAAGTGTGTATCCCTACTGTGGATGGACGAAATCCTGCACCGCTGTGAAACCACGAGAAACCATTGTTTGGCTGGTATTTGCAAGGTGGTCTATCATTCCAGGGTTTCTTAGGTGGTGCGAAATGGATTTCGCAACCATCCACAGTCTTTTCCTTCTTCGCCTGTGGGACAGAAGTGCACGCCCGAGCTTAGCACTTCTCATGACCCCGAGGTTCCCGGCTTCAGATGGTATAAAGAAAATCTCACTTCAAAGCGAATCGACCTTTCAACCGTTTGGTCTCCCCATTCAAAACTTTCATCTGGTGAAATGAAGAGGTGTAATACGTGTCATTTTCCCAGCTGTTGGCCTTAAAGGGCTCCGATTTCACTACCCAGGACCCCAATGGCTGTTTTGGGGTTATTTGGGGTTATTTGCCAGCCATTGGGGGTGGTCCTGGCCTGGATGTCGTTCTTTTCTCCCTGCCTTTTGTTTTGTTTTCCCCAAGAAACTCCCGCTCCTCCCGGGGATTCTCCGTTTTCTGCGTTTTTGTTTTGGGTTTTTTCCCCCGGGGACTCCAGGCTCCTCGCTGAAAAAAAAACCAGGCGCCCAGCGGCCAGTGCAGCCAAGAGGCCAAGCGCCTGGCGCGGCGAGCTTACAGCGGGTTGACAGAGGCAGCTCCCCCGAAGCTGCAAACCAGTGGGGGGAGGATTGGAGTGTGAGGATTGGGCCGAAGGTTCTTGGAGGGGGAGCTGTGGCAAACCAGTGGGGTGAGGATTGGAGTGTAGAGTTGGCCGAAGGTTCTTGGAGAAAAAAAGAGGTAATTGCCACAGCATTCTAGGCAACCCAAACTTATGGTTGCTGAATTCCCTGTTTGAGGGTGCAGGTATGAATAAGCAGAAATTCTAGGGGACACTTCTTTGTGTGAATCGCTTGTGTGGGTTGTCTCAAAATGGCTCTTACCCATACCCTGCCACTCACCTGCAGCTGGGCTACCCACCAACAGGGTTCACCCCACTGAACGGGTTGTGGGACTTACAAGTCTAGGGGACACTTCCATTTCCATTCTTTCCAGGGATCCGAATCTTTCCGGAAAACCATGAGAAACTCAGGGGAAACAGCGATCGGTTTTTAGAAAGAACGATGGTTGAAAAGAATGGGGAAGTTACCCCTAGAACCATGGTCGTGGGCATTGATTGTACTTAACATGGAACCTAAGGGGAAATTCTTGGAAGACCGCTTCCCTCTTAAAGGGACCTTCTGTCAGGTTCCATTTTATTGGGAGGGGGTGTAACAACTGCCAACACTATCTTTAGACACCACTGAGATCCGCAAAGCGGAGATGCAGAGCCAAGGTGCGAGCTGCTTGCACGCACCTTCCGCGCAGGCGGGGCAGCTGGCCTCTTCAAAGAAGGGAGCTCACCCGACCTGGCCGAATCTCTTCAGGGACCCCCCTTGTGCTGTACAAAGTGATCATGTGTGTCCTTTTCAGGTTAGTTTGGTTACAAATAGATGGCACTGGTTTAGATGGCGTTTATTCCATTTACCAGGGAAACCCATCTATTTTTCCAAAAGGCCACCTGTGAAACTGATGTTTTGTTCCCAAAAAGGGGCCCTCAGTCTGGGCATACCCCCGTGTTGGTGTGCTAAAAAACAAAACAAACTAGATTTGAGACAGGTACGATGGCTTTGCTCCGTGCAATGTAACTGTCAAAGTGATGGATTCTCAAACGCGCTTGGCTGTTCACTAAATTGAGACATGCGTATCTTCCCTGTGCTTGGCAAGTGTTCTTTTTGATGTGTTTTGGTTCTGTTCATTTCTAGCAGGGGGCGGCAAAACGCAAAGTGTTTACCATGCCAAGGCTTGTGAAGTTATACCCCGCTGCCGTGAACGTACTTTCACCAGGCAAGATCCCATGTGCCAAACTCAGCTCCGCTCAGGTGAAAGCGAAGGTGCGGGGCCCCAGGGCCCCAGTCAGTCATTTGTTGCGTGGCAAAGAGGTTGATCTGGTGGGAGGTTTTGTTGTTGTTAAGCAACACAACCACAGTTGTTTTTTGCATTTTTTTGTTTAACACTTCAACCCCAAACACATGTGTTTAAGCAAACACCCAATGCTTTCGGCAGTGCTAGCTCACCAGACCTGCATGCATTGTTGGAGCTGGCAGTTGGTTTAATGTTTAGCCTCTAGCTTTAAGTGCTGCGTCCAGTGTTCTCAATTGCTTTCTCTAAGTGCCTCATGTGTTCTCACATGACATGCTTTCTCCTGACTGATTTGTGTTGTCATGAGGTTGAAGACCCAATTATGAGAGAAAAAACGAAAGAGTAAATCAGTCCTGATGCGAGAAAGATAAACCACTCAGTCATGAGAGCAGATCATTCTCTGAAATGATGACAGAAAGAGAGAGAGAGAGAGAGAGAGAGATCCATCCATCAGCCCCGAAAGCTTGGTGAGGCCCGCCGGTGCGGAGATGCGAGCAGGCGCCGGTTTTTTTGTTGCATAGCCGAAGTGTCAGGCTGGGCTCATTCTTTGAACCGTTGGGGGGCAAAGTCGGACACTGGAATCGGTGAGTTTCCTTTAACTTAGCACTTAGGGGCTGACTTTGATTGTAAAATCATGGGGCCCGTCCGACGAACAGCACGGGCTGACGCAGTGTGCATTAGTCCAGAAAGGAATGGATTAGGTCGATGTCGAGTCAGCGAAGTCTGAGTTCACTTCACAACGGGCATGTATCTGTCTCACAATAGGAGGACCTCCAAATCCTGTTTCCCTTTACATCCACCCAAAAAGGGATACCTACAAGAAGACACACCCCACCTGCGAACGATTTCTTCTAGGTCTTCATCCCAGAGAATCGTGCAGTCGGTCCGTTTTGCGGCGCGCGGTTCAGCAGCTTGGCAAAACCATCATGCCTCTAAAAGGGGAGCCACATCGTGGCATGTACACAAAAGGAAAGGACGAAGCCAACTGAAAGCAAATCTCCAGTGCTACGCATCTTGCCCGGGCAGGTGAAAGCGCTGATTGCGCTGATTGTATGGGAGGCAGGTGTCCGAGTTCCTGGCGCAGCTGAGTTGAAGCCGCATTTGCGCGCGAGCGATGGCATGAGCCAGGCCTATATGCGAGTAGTTTCACGCCTATACAATCAGCTTTCTTGACTCAATAGAGGATTCTGACCCCATTTAGAGGTACGGAAGATGGATTCGAGTTGGGGTAGGTACCGTGAGATTGAGACGCGATTGATTTGTTTCATACCCATGTGATGTACCTTTCGTTTGATTTTTGCGACATGCTGGGCGGACCACCTTGCAGCAAAGCCATTGATTGCAGATGCCTCGCTGCTTCTTGCAGTTGCAAGCAGCGGCTCCAACCCTTTATCCTTATGGAACGGGAATGTTCATTTGATGAGAGATTGGTATTGGGTTCTATCCAAAAGCGTATTGTGTGACTAGCTTGACAAGCTGGGGCAGATTCGCATGCCAACAGTTTGTGTGTATCTCAAGTGCATTGTGACTGCATGCTAGCACAACTTGAAGCAGCCAAAGACTTGATCACTTGAAGTTGAACCTCCACGCCAGCAGATTGCGGTGGCTATCCCCTTTGCAAAGAGTTTTCGGAATGCAGAACCCACCAGGGGATGCAAGGTAATAAGGCACAACAACTATACCCTTTGCTCATTGAGTAGTTTGTTCGATGATTGCCAGGAAGGGACGCAGGAGTGGCGGCCCTAGCCGGAATGATGATATCACTATAGACGCTTGCTCATGAATCAGGAGCCTCTTCGAGTGAAGAAACTGATACATTTGACTTGCAAGTCATTGGCAGCTGGACAGCGCCTGTTTTGCCTTTGATTCCAGGCGCCTTTGGGTTGCCCAAGTCAGCTCGCATGTCAAAGCTTTGGAGCCCTAGCCTTAGGTCCATGCCCCTAGAGGTGAGGACATCGGCTCGTAAGGCAAAGGGTCCGCATCCGAGTCATGTGGGAGGGTTCCGCTGCACAGCGCTAGACTTACAAGCTGTGGCTCATTCCCCAAGGAGAATCTCCAGGTTGAAGTCTTTCTGATCGGATGGTTAAAAAAAAAACAAAAACTAGAACTTCCTGATTAGGATAGTGAACACGACTTGGCGCTTGATCGCCATGCTTAAGTTGCAGTCTGCATGGTGCCAAGGAACCATACCTGGGATCATCGAACAAAATGAGGGCCTTCCAAATGGCGGGTTGCCTTTGTCTTTCTCTGAAGCGCCACTTTGCTTTCTTTCTTTATTCCCCAATTCCGACATACAGTGGCAGATTTTCCAAACTTGAGCCTCCGAGTCACACCTAGAAACACCGGCCAGGACAATACACTTGCCTTTTGCTATGCCATGCCAGCCATACCCAAGATACTACTGGCTGACGTGCGCATTTAGGGTCATTTTTTTTTAGGGGACCCGAACAAATTTGTGGCTTTCTTCTCGGTTTCCCTTTAAACAACAACACCGACAAAAAGGGGGGTACCCTCCCACCCTTTTCGCATGGAACCTGACAGAGGCTCCCTTTAAAGGGAACATGGTCCTCCACCCTGTCAGATTCCATCCTGCAAAGGGGAGGGAACCAGCCAATCATTTCCACCAAGACCGAGGGTCCCTTTAAAGGGGAAAATGGTCCTCCAGAACGTTCCATGCTACTTGGTGGGAGGGTACCAAGTAAACAAGACCAGGTCCGCTAGTAGTGCCTTTTTACCCCCTTTTTGGGGGAGGTTTCCCCTACTAAAATAGACCACAGAAAAAAGGGTACCCTTATTCTAACCTCTCTCCTGGAGGACCTAGAAGACAAGCCATGGAGGCTACCAACTTCAAACGCCGGAGTGCCCATGTCATTCGCAGGCCTTGCTCACCTTGGCCTGTGCCAACCGGAGCTCCTGGAGCGCCACCTTGCTGGAGTTCTTGCAGGACGAAGGCGCGCGCTTCTTCGCGAGCGACGGCCCCGAACGCGCGCCGGACAACGCCCAAAGCTGTGACGCAGGAGAGATTCCATGGGTGGCTCGGTTTTTTAAGGTTGGATCCTTCCTCCCCCCCAAAAAAAGAAGAAGGCGGTGTTGTCTTCACTTGGTTCATTGTTCCAGGGGTCCCGAGCCGTTTCCCTGTGGACCTCCAAAAGTGGCATTTTGTGTGGTACCGCACCAAGCTGCAACTTTGGACGGGGAAATCCGGCGCCTCAATGCGAGACATGTTTTGCAGTCTGCCCATGTGCAGCGAATCTGCGGGAACCGGAAAAAATCGGGATCCAAATTACTCTGGGTATTGCATGATGGCAACTCAAGCAGGTGAATGTCGGTCTTGCCGAACTCTATGTTCTGCAGGGGCGGATGATGTGTAGTGCATTGTTTGCAGGATCCAAGCCAGGATGAAACCAGTATGCTTGAAGCTGAGGAGTAAAACACATTGTGGCGCATGCAACCGGTGTGTTTGCTGGTGATTTGATCTGAGGATGACATTCCGGTTTGACTCGTGCAAACATGTTGAGCCTACTTTTGCTTTGCAAAGCCGCCGTGTTGGCCCCTACGAAACATATTCACGGTATACTTGAGCTTGTGATGGGTATTGGCAAGTCCGTCACTCCTTCCCACTACCCCCTACGCAAAATACCCGTTTTTTATTCAGTTGGTATTCTTTGGAAAACCGATCGATTTTCCATGGTAAATGCCGATTCCTTTTTTAGTAAAGGGTCGACATGATACCAACTGAAAACAGGAAGGCAGGGTATTGGGAGCTTTCGGGGGTATAGGGGCGGTGGGGCTGGAAGCGGGACACGGGTCCCGGAGCTATCCAAGAGACAAGTCAAAGGCCCTTTTGGGACCCAGACGCTCCTGGCTTCGGCTTCCAATGGAAGACCCAGACCCTCCATGGGACACCCCAGAGGGATGTTGGTGTCTGAAAACCTGGCGGTTTGAGGGCCCAAAATGAATCGAATTGGAGCGTCTGGGGAATGTAAAAAGGGTTTGCGCGCTTACGGGGGCGGTTGCAGGTTAGAAACAGTTTAGCGTTAGTTAGGGGTAGTGGACATTACCTCCAGATTTTACATGACCAACTATAGCGGTAGCTGGAAGCAATGGAAGAGGAAATCCACAGGTGGGTTGTTTCCCTTACAAACCAGCAAAGACTCAAAAAATGGGGAGTGTCCCTGACGCAGGTGCCATGGAGCAGGTTCTCGCTGCCAGCAATCGTGAGGGGGAGGAGGCGGGCTGGCGGGCTGGCGACGCGACGAATCCCAAAGGGGAAACCAACCGTTTTGGGTGGGCCCCTTAAAAAAAATATAAGTCAAAAAAAAGAGAGAAACGCCTACTTACAAATCCGACAAGCCGGATTTATCATGACATATTTATGTTATTAATTCCTTCGATTCGCCAGAATGTGTAGAGCCAGAAATGTTCCTGAAGTTTGGTTTCATTTCATTCATTCATTCGCCGGAATGTGTACAACCATAAATTATGTTGAAGCTCGGTGTCATTTCATTCATTCATCCGCCGGAATGTGTAGAACCAGAGCCGACCTTTTTTAATTATGGTTTTGCCATCTTGGCAACCATATTTAGTGATGGTCCGAAAATAACTTCTGCTTTTTTTAATTTCTGGGTCCTTTGGGCAGTTGAGTTTAACATGTTTTCCTTCGAATCTTGAGGGCCAGCGGTTGGTCGTCGAGCTGCTGCTGCGTGGCTTTGATGGCGGCGGCCCTGGTGTCGCGGGTCACGGGCCGCCCCCCCAGCCCACACCACCCACCCACCCCCCCCGGGGAACCTCCACGCCGGCCCCGAGGCCCAGTGGCGCAACGCTTCGCAGCGTCTCCGCCGGCTCCCAGGCCGACGGGCGCATGACAAATGAGGCGATGAAAGGCTCCACCATTTGTTGTCAACACTCTACTAAAAAAAAAGGGAGGTATTTACCATGGAAAACCAGGGACCGCAGGTTTTAGTCCATGTTTCCATTTACCCGGGCAAGCCATTTTGGGTACCTATTGTTGACCCACATCCAAGTCATTGTACCGAAAACTAGGTTTCGCGACCATGTTGGTCAATTCGGTTCAACCGTGCACCTACGGAAATGACCGAATCAACCATTCACCTAGGGAACCCATTTTTGTTTGAGTCGTTCCCCTAAAAGGTGAACCAGTTTCGTTTTAGAAAATACGGTGGATGGTTGCGACATCCCTTTCGCAGAAGAGACCCTGGAAGAATGATTCCTCTGTCAATGCCAAGAGGATTTCGTCCATTCACAGTATGGTGAGATTGGCTTGAGATCTTGGGTTGGGGAAGAAATGCTGTCCTGTGTCAGAGTTGGCGATTGGAAATGAAGTACTTGAACATCTCTCAACATTGGTTTCAACTGCAACCGATATGGGTTTCTCAAAATTGGAATCGGACCCCTTTTTGGTTTTAAAGGGAACCAAAAGGAACTCACATTTTGAGAGACACCCATGTTCCCCCTTTAAAGTTAGGCTTCCTGAACTGATGCAGCTGTACTAAAAGCTGTGCTGACCCCAGCCCTCAGTGACTTTTTTTTTCTGTGGCACTGAGACGGACAGCTAAGGCAAAGCGAATTGCGATTTGTTTTTTCGTCGGTGATATCAGTGTCTTTTTTGAGGATACCCCTTTTGTGTGGCTTTAAAGGGGAAACCAAAATAAGCCACCATTCTGGGGGTCCCTTAAAAATGACACACTCATGTGTTTGACTGAGCATCCTCTAGTCAGTTTGCAATCATTTCGAGCACAGGCACTTGCGGACATGTTTCTGCAAAAGCACCGAGGCTCCATTGATTGCATTATGTCTTTCCCAATACACACAACAAGTGTCAGCCCTTCATGCGGATATGATCAAAACTAAACCACTAGCGGACCGGACCGCAGGTTTTTTGTCCATGGTCCATTTACCATTCCCTTTTAGTACCTATGTTTGACCCACTGCTATGTGTTCTTCGGTGACTTCTGCAATCACTTGCATTGCTTTGAGCAATCGTGAGTGGCTTTCGTGGTGCCGCAGGAAGCGGCTGCTCAACCAGCTCTTCATGTCGCGCCGCTTGTTATCATTTTTATGGTTGTGTTGCTGTGGCCGAAATCCAGAAATCGCACCACTTGAAAACCATGGTTGAAACCATAACGTTTATTGGTATTTGAAGGGGAAGCATCAGAAGCCAGGGTTTCTTAGGTGGTGCGAAATGGTTTCGTCCATCCACAGTGTGTTGATCCAATCGCCGCAGCAAGCTGGATGCTATTGCTTGGGTCGGGCTCCTACAACAGGGAAGACCAATTCAGGGTTGTTTGTCTAAAGTCCCATGCGCTGAATTGTTGGGGAGAGGCAGGTTATTGGTTTGACACGAGCACCAGAGGCCTAAGGCTGCCAGCATTGTGCATGTCCGTCAGCGCCCAGTATTGTTCAAGGTTCCCGATTGCCCAGCGTCGGTTTCCCCAAAGTGTTCCTTTGTTCCTTTAAACTCAGCCAACAACGGATCCCTTTGTTTCCCCATGGAAATCTACTGGGCATCTGAGTGTTGCTTTCTGAGCGTTGCTTTGTGACTTGCATGTTCAGTCGTCTTACCCCATACACCCAATACCTTTTTTCTATAGAGGGTGTGATGTAACCCTCTACTACGAAAGGGCCCCCTACTCAAAGTACCCGCTTTTTGCAGGGTATTTTTTGGGGGAAACATGGTTTTCCATGGTAAGCACCAAACCTTTTTTCGTAGAGGGTCGACATGATACCCTGAAAAAAGAGGGTACTTGGAGTAGGGGGAGGTATTTACCCTGGAAAACCTGTTTCGGTTTTCCAAAAAATGCTCTGAACAAAGCTCTCCTGGACTCCTGGAGTGAGGTGATGCCTTCGTCCGCGTAGCGGTCGGCGGGGAAGCCTGGATTCGTCTACCGTCCACTTCGGCAAGTGCCACGTGTGCCTTTGACCTGTTCAAGCATGCTGTGGATGGACGCAATCCTGTTCGCAGCACCTAAGAAACTCCGGTTTCTGATGATTTCCCTGTAACCATCAAACAATGGGTTTCCCATGGTGTGAAAGTGGTGCAGGATTTCGTCCATCCACAGTGGAATTATCAGCACCTGGTTTAAGCTTCACACACAGCGGGGCAATTCCATGGAGGAGAGGCTCTGCCTTTTCAGCTGAGTCACTGTTGGACGTTCATTTAGCTTTCCCGTGCCAAGGCCTTTTGCTGGCGGCCTTGCTATGCCAGGAGGACTATGGTGAGGCCCCGACTTCGACAGATGCCGCGCTGAAACTCTGAAGCCCATGGAGTCGAATATGCACACCATTCTGCAGCTGCCGTGGGTGGCTCGTCTTTTGTTTTCTTCTTTTTTTCGGAGTTGGTGGCCCTTGTTTGGTGGCTTTACAGGTCGGTTGGTTGGTTGGCTGGTTGGCTGGCTGGTTGGCTGGCTGGCTGGCTGGAGAACCGAAACAAATATCATTTTGGGAGGCGCTAGCTGGTAGTTGGAAAGGTGGTTGAAAGGGCCCTTCCGGAGCTAGGGGTATCCAAATTGTTGGCTTTCATTTTGCTTTGAAAGGAGCTAAGGAGGTGTTGCAAGGACGCAAACCAGAAAGTACAGATCACGCCACAGTGCCGGGCAGACAGACAGCGTTTTGGGACAGTCAGGGTCTCAATTGTAGTTTGCGGTCGAAGCAATCCTTGGAGATGCGTCAATTCACGAGCGACCCTACCGTGGGTGGACAAAATTTCGCACCACTTGGAAGCTATGGGAAACCAGTGCTTCTTGGTATTTACAGGGGAATCATCATTTGATGGTGTCTTAGGTGGTGCAGGATTTTGTCCACCCACAGTATCGCACCCCTTCTACCCTGCGAGCCCGCAGGCGGCACAAGCAGAGGCCGGGCTGGCAGCTGTTCGGGAGGACCGCGCCCACAGATCTCAGTGCAGCTCATCAACCCAGGGAGGTCCTACTGTGGATGGAAAAAAACCTGCACCACTTTGAAGCCGTGGGAAACTATTCTGGTGCAGGATTCCAACTCTGGTTTCTGATGATTCCCCTGTAAATACCATCAACAATGGTTTCCCATGTTTTTCAGGTGCACCGCCTGAGCAACATGGGAAGCCATTGTTTGTTGGTGTTTAGAGGGGAATCATCATTCCAGGGTTTTGAAGGTGGTGCGAAATGGTTTTCGTCCATCCACAGTATCAATCCGCACAAGCAGCCCTTGTACATGGCACAAGCTACGGTCAGCAGTTTGCATAGTATTGGGTCTTGCTGAGAAATTAATTCCACCCTCACGGTTCGAGCTATGAGTAGAATGTCCGCTCTGAATCAAGGTGGCATGCTCGTGTTAAATGTCTTGGATGACACTTTGGGCTATGCTGGGCTGACAACACTGGTGGAATCATGCTGACCTAGGATATCGGAATTGTGAACTCCCGAGTTGTTCGAATCCGCAGAGCAGCCAAGGCTGCTTTGCCCCGTGTCATTAGATTGTGCGTAAGAAATAGACATACGTAGTATGTCATACCACACCCAGCACAGCAGCTTCAATACCAACGACTAGTGACTTAGTGGTCAGGGATACATCCTTTACCAGTCAAGATCATCAACAGCATTGGCCAGATCATGTTTGTTCGTTTCTCCAAATTATGCTATTCGCCTACATAAGGCGTACAAAGGCTTCCAAATGCACAACACGGCAGCGGCACATTCCAGGGTTCACGGGGTTCTTTGCATACCCAGAAGCTGTTTCAGGAGCTCGCAGCGTGGGGGGCCCCAGGAGGTGCCTGAGTTCAAGTTGAAGGACGGAAAACTAGTTGCTCAAGTTAGCTTACTTGCTAGAACTATTTAGAACTCATCTCCTGGATTTGCTGAAATGAATATATTGTCATGTTCCCCCTGTTGGGTTTAAAGGGAATCGTTTTCACCACTGGACATATGTTAAGTTTTTTCAGGGGGCGAACAAGCAAATGGAAGTAACGAGACCCCTTTGGCTGCTCGCAGCTTGAAACCAAGATGCGGCTGCTTGGTGTGATGGTACGGTGGATGGATGGAATCCTGCACCAGATTGAAACCATGGATAGTTTGTTGGCATTTACAGGCGAATCATCAGAAACCAGGGTATCTTACGTGGTGCGAAATGGGTATGAATTAAAAACAAACCACCAGGGACCGCAGGTTTTAGTTTTCGGCTCCATTTACCAGGGCAAGCCATTTTGTGTACCTATTTTTGACCCACACCCAAAAGGATTTCTCCACCATCCTCAGCATTGCAGCTGGTTTTTCGGCACTCAGCGCTCCGGGTTTTTGTTGCCGCCACTAGACCTGGGCTTGCGCTGGGCGATCTGAAGCGGCTGCTGGAAGAGGCTGGAGTTCGAGCGAGCGAGGCCCACGATGTTTGCGAGCCACGGGCTACCCGGTAGAGCCCTTTTGCTCACTTCCTGAGTTGAACTTGAAACTTTTGGGAAGACCATTTTAGTGGTAAACAAGAAGTTTGGACTGTATTTGGGCCATCCACTCAGCCGGTGAGTTTGGGGAAATGAACCGATTGGGTGTAAGTCCATGGGGATGTCAAGAAACGGAACCATGAGACGTTAGTAAAGAGATGAACAGGGCTCCTTAAAAGATCTCCATTTGCCAGCTCAAAATAAAGGGACACCACCATTTACAAGGCAATGCTCAGGTGTATAATGAAGCTTAGTAAAGGACGATCCCCTTGCCACAAATAGCTGCGGAGATCCGCCTTCTGAAATTTATTGAAGCATGGTTCTGGGTAGACCGTTTTAGTACCGGGTTTTGATTCGGTGACTCATATGTGCCGCGATGCCGCTTTGGATCTGGAATGATGATCATGAGCTCTCCTCTGGGGCTTCCCATTCCAAGCAATGGACTCTTTTTTTGAATGTCTACTATGAGTGAGCATCAATACCACTACTAGGATGATTACATTTTCCAAGAGAGACGTACTAAAGAGTTTCATAGCCACTTTGCCATCAGTTTCAAGTATACCACGGAGCCAGTTCCAGACTCCAGCGCGCGTGTTTCTCATAGCTTGGCTCAAGTAATTAGGCATGAACCAGAAAGACATTACCTGAAGGCCAAAAAGTGAGAGGGTTTGCCAAACTCTGACTTTCTCAGGGGCGGGCCAGGCACAATGAGGAGTTTAGGAGCGAGTCAACTGCAATCAAAGACCTCGGGCCATCAATCCAACAAGCCAACCTATAAGAATGGCGGCGCTTGACTGGTAGCGTCAATTGCCATCGACTCGTTGCCTGTGGAGTCGGCTGTTGAGACCCGCGTTCACTGCTTGAAGGGGCCATCGGGCAAGCAGTAGTTGAGTGGCTAGTGAACGGAGACTTAGAACCATGGTAAGTGGCTTATAGCCATGGTTATTACCCGCTTACAAAGTTCCCTGCCCCTTAAAGTGGTGCTTTGTGCTGAGTGACAAGTCCATTCGCCTGCAATAGCTGATGGCCATGATGTGTTTTGGTCCGTCTTTTTGGAGGTTGGACCCCCCAAAAAACAAGGACACGTGGTTTGCCTTCTGTGTCCCTTTAACACCACAAGACAACGGGTACCCTCAAAAAACGACATCCCCCATTTGGTTCTGGGCATCCGGTTCTTTGGCGATGCGATTCAGAAAGACGGAGCCGTAGAAAACCTTGGGGTTTTGGCTGCAGGACGACTGCTGGCATTGGCTTTGCCACCTTGCTGCAGCGCAAAGTACTGACCCGGGCCCAGCATAAGGACCAGTTGGTAGGACCCCAGTCGCGACACTGGATCCTGAATGAGTGCAGTGGTGTATTTGATTGGCTTGGACTAGGTCTTGGATGGTGATTGCACTACAAATACATCCGCCATCTAGAGCAATTTGTCGTTGCAAACTCTGGCGTGGTGCTGGACACTTTGTCTAGCAGATGATGCTGAAACCCGTTCATATTTTACATGTGATCAATATATGTTTTAACCTGTTGGTTTTATGAAGGGAATCTATCACTACTGGACATATGCTTATTGTTTCCCGGGAGCAACAAAGCAACTGGAAGATATTGACGCAAGCGATTCATCTGATTTCGAAGCCACGAAGCTGATTGCAGATGTGGACGTTCTGAGAGCTGGTGAAACCTGCCTAAGGCGGGCCATTTTGCGCTTGTTACGCTGCTGGTGGTCCCGCACTCAGCATCAACTCAGGTGAAAAGCGAGTCTTGGATCACTGCATGTCAAGCAGGAAGCAGGTTGTGGACAAACACGTGGGGGTCGACCAATATTCCCTTCGGCCCGCGAATGACCGTGGGCAACTTTTCATATAATATGTGGTCAGTGGGGTTCCAACCAACATCGTGTTTTTTTTTTTTTGCGAAGCAAAGCCGGCATGTGGGGCGAAGACCAGGGCTAACTTCACCCATGAAAGACATATCATGTGTTTGGTGGTGATGATCATCCCATGTAAAGGAGCTTTTGATGAGATGCATGGGTAGCTAGGTGGGAGCCGGGCTGAGCCGCATTGCAGAGACAGCAGGACAGGCTAGACGCTTGAGACGCTTGAGACGCAGGCCTAGTACTTAAAGGGGCGATCGGATTCGTCTGGTCTGTGGGTAATATCCACGGATAGCACCCACAAAAGCCATGGTTACAAGTCTCCGTCCAGTTTTCTTTTGCGTTTTTTTGACCAGACCGATCGCCCCTTAAAGTACAGGCAAAGTGGAAACAAGGCATCGAACCGTTTTATGGGAAGCCCATGCTCATCAGTCTCCTTTTCCCAGGCAGATCTTCGTAGAATTTGTTCAGGGTATTTTTGGGAAAAACCTGGTTTTCCATGGTAAGTACCAAACCTTTTTTCGTAGAGGGTTGACATCATACCCTGAAAAAAGTGGGTATTGGGTGTAGGGGGGAGGTATTCCGCGGCAGTCGCAAGGCGTCGCTGGGGCCTTTCGAGCAGCTGACATAATTGGCAGGACTCCACGAGCTCCTGGTGCAAAAGCTCTCGGAAGCGGATTCCCAGGCCATGCGGGCCATGCGGCGGGGATTTGGAGGGTTTTTTTGCGGCGATTTTATTGGATTTGGGGAATTGCGGACTTGTTGTGCAGAGATGTTTCTTGTTTTTGGGGGGATTTGGAGGGGTTCGTGCAGAGATGTTTATGGTTTTTGCAGAGGTGAGGGGCTGCGGATTTTTTTGCGTACATTTCAAGCAGCGGAAAAAAAAACTAGGGTAGGTTGCCCATGGAAATCCACAAGTTCCCTGGTTGTGTCAAGAACTCGATCGGAGTGGCATGATACTTTCCAATCAAGCAGACGC